CCCCCCCCCCCCCGGCAGGTATCCAGGCTGGGGGTGAGAACTCGCCCCCCAGCTTGGCAAAGAGGAGGCCACAGAGCCAGTGAAACAGACCCCGGGGCTGCAAGGATGCCCCGTCCCTGGGTCAGGCCTGGAAACACCCTACTCAGTTCCAACCCTGGGGAGACGGTCTGCACGCGCACCCCAGCCACCTCTGATAACAATTAGAGACTTATCTAATTGCAAAAATAATTGCAATCCAAGTAGTTAATTACCATCCAAAGCAGGCAGTTGCTGCCAACCGTCCCAGCAGCCATCAACTTGGGTTTGGGGTTTGATGATTAGATAGCACCCCAGAGGGGATGGGCGGCTTTGCCAGTTGGAGTCTGGAGGGCAGCTCGCACTTGTGCACCAAGCTAACGAGGCGGGGGCAGGGGCGGGGGCGTCTGGGCCCTGCAACAGCTGTGCCAGCAACTGGCTACACTTGTGCAGAGCACAGCGTCTGGCATCCCCGGCAGGAGCATTGCATTGCCATGGCAGGGGGTCGGACTAGATGATCTGCTAAGGTCCCTTCCCCCCCTAGAAACTATGAAATTGGGGGGGGGGGGACACACCAGGCCAGAGCAGAGGCACTGCTCTGCTGAAGCGGGGGCAACCCCCACAGCGCCTGAACCTGGTGACTTTGAACAGATGTCGCTAGACACTTGTTGGCGGTCATGTCGGACCCTGGCCCAGCACCATCCTTTCCTTCAAGTGGCCTGAAAACGGGTGTTTGCTTGAGGGTGGCAGGGTCTTGCATGGGGACAGTCCGCACGGCTCAGCCTGGAGGGCACCCGAGTGAGAAAGCACCCAGCCTTGGACATCACCGGGAAGTCAGCAGCGTCGCTTCAGGCCTGCACCCTCTGCAGCCAGGGGGACGGCGCAGTGGCTGGCTGAGCTGTGGTCACGGGTGGGACCCGACGGCCCTGGAGATCTCGCCCACCCTCCGGGAGGCTAGGACCTCCCGAACCCGGCAGCTTCCAAGCTGGGGGGGATGAGATAGCTCCTGACTCCCCCTGAAAACATTTGGGGGTGGATAGGAACTGGGACCCACATGTCCTCAGTGGGATTGTCTCCCTCCTCATGGCCCAGTGGGGTCGGGTCTCAGCCAAAGCCAGCGGATACCTGCAGCTGGAGCCATGGGGCTGCCGGAGCAGTTCTTCCCTGCGATGCTCAGTGCTGGCGGGACCTGGACTGAAGACATGGGGGCAGAAGCAGCCCTCGGATCAGCTCTGGACCCGAGAGGTGCAAGGAGAAGGCCTTTCCTAAGCCGAGAGCGGGGCTTGCAGCAGGTGCTGCCCCAGCCTGCCCCAGCACCGCTCCTCCAGGGCAGTGACCGGCCCTGGCTGCTCCATACCCAGGGCAAGGCCAATGTGTCCACCACTGCCGGCAGCCCCGGGTAAGTCCCAGGCCAGAGGCCCTGGTTCATTGCTCATAGACAGCTGTAGCGCAGGGCTCGTCTCACAACAGAGCCCGGGGTCCCAGCCAGCCAGGCCCGCCTGCCCCCGTCTGGGTAAGAAGCCCACAGATGCCCCTCAAGAGCCTGGACCAAGACAGCCCCAGCCCCAGCCGCCTTCCCCAAGCCAGGTCCCAGCACCAGGATTCTGGCGGCCACCAGCTGCAGGACAGGAGCGGACAGACGTTACATGTACAGGCATACCTCGGAGATATTGCGGGTTCGGTTCCGGACCACCGCAATAAAGCGAATATCGCAATAAAGCGAGTCACATGAATTTTTTGGTTTCCCAGTGCATACAAAAGTTATATTTACGCTATACTGTAGTCTATTAAGTGTGCAATAGCATAATGTCTAAAAAAACAATGTACATACCTTAATTAAAAAATACTTTATTGCTAAAAAATGCTAACCATCATCTGAGCCTTCAGCGAGTCGTAATCTTTTTGCTGGTGGAGGGTCTTGCCTCAATTTGTAAAAAACCCAATATCTGCAAAGTGCAATAAAGTGAAGCGCAATAAAAGGAGGTATGCCTGTATTGCTTCTGCCGTGTTACTGCAGGCCGCTTCCCCACTCCGCCTTCCTTATCTGCAACCGAGCGCCCCTAGCAAGGCCCTGGGCATCCCACCAGCCCCGGGCTCTACAGGGACTGAGGACCAGCCTACGGCTGCCTGCTCCACCCGAGCCTGGGGTCCGCTTGCAAAGGCACAGCAGGGCCCGGGCCTGGAGGCAGCTCTGATGGGGGACGATGGGTGGGAGGCCCACCTCTGCTCCGCCCTGGGCAATGCATCTCAGAGCCGGGGCTGGGGGGCAGGGGCCGTGCTGTGTTCGAGCCGGGGTCTCAGTGCTGCGTGGGGCACTTGGAGTGGGTGCAGCCGGGCTCCCCACCGCAGGGGTCCTGTTCTCCTGCCGCCTGTTCCCAGGGCTCAGCCCCCTGCCCCTTCTCAGCCTGCCCGCCCCACCTGGGATAGCCCCACGGGCTTGCAGGTACCTCTGCCTCCACTCCCGAGCTCCCAATCAGGCTCACTTGCAGCTGCAGAGAGATCAGGGCAATCACTGCCTCTGGGCGCTGCTGCGGGGATTGTCCTCCTCTGCTCTGTTGGGCCCGGCCCTCGGCCTGGCTGTCCCGGCCTCCCCCCTTGGGCTCCTGCAGTACTGGGACCTGGGGAGACCCCTGCTGCCTCCCCCTCATGCTGGGGCAGACCCTGGAGAAGTAGAGGCACCCCGGGGCTGAAAGGGAAATGGTCTCTGCCCCCAGCCTGGGCACCCCCTGGCTCAGTGCAGTGAGCACCGGGGTTGGGAGCTGCAAAGGAAAGGGGGGGCAGCTACCCCACTCCCCCCACCTAGGATATCCCATCTCAAGCAGCTGCGGGGAAGGGGCCTCCATGGCTCCCACGCTCCTCACCCAGAGCACTGCAAAGGCAAAGGTCGGTCTGAGCCCGTGGCCTGTCGCCCTCATGCAGCCAAGGCCCCACCAGCTCCTGTAGCCAACTGCAGGCCCTGGAGGGGTCCAGCCAGCACCACACCCAGCCCCCACAGACCCCCGGCCCAGGGGCTGATCAGAGGCAAGTCTGAACCAGCACAGGGGGACCAGCAGCAATACCCGAGCTTGCCAAGACAGCAACCATCATGTCCCACTGGGATCTGTAAGGGTCTCCATCCGGGGAAGGTACGAGCAGCCCTCCCACCCCGTGCCCCACCGCAGGGATCTGGGAGCCGGAGGCTGTGGCTTGTGGGGAACAGGGCAGGGAGGCCCCCATGGCACTGCCCCCACACCCGGCTGGCTCAGACCTCTGCAGCTTGGCTGGACCCTCCCTGGCATCGTGAGAGCTGGGCAGCCCCTTCCCCCAGCACGGCTCCCCCACAGCCACAGCGGACTGCGGCCTTGCCGTGGAGCTCAGGTGGCCCACGGAGCTCGTGCGCTGAGGGCAGTGCAGGGGCTCTGGTGCCATCCACCTGCTCAGCTCTCACCCCACCCCAGACCCAAAGAGCTGGTGCCCGAGTGCAGCTGGGGGCAGCCTGGACTGGGGCTTGCCTCTGCAGTCCGGCCAAGACGCCAGCGGTCTGCCAGGGACTGAATGGGGGCACAGAAGGGCTTGTCCAGGGAGCCTGGGAGTTGCACCCCGATGCGTCACCCCCATTGTACACCATACTGCATCCCAGCCCGCGCTGAGGGCCGTGGAAAGGGGGAGATCGCTGTCATAGAGAGACGCTTGCAAACCTAATGCCT